GGGCTGTACGGCATGCATGGTTGCTGACATTCACATCCTAGGGGTGTGTCCTCACAGAAGCACTGCAAACGTTGGGGGCAGGGTTCTTCTTGTGCGGGATGCTCTAGAAGGCAGGGCTAGTAATGCGCAGGGCATGGCATCAAGCTGTGGAGCAATACCTTCAGCCATGCACCCCATTAGCTCAATCCCTTTGCACCTTTCGTAAGTGGAATGAGTGTTTTAGTGCTATTGTCGATCTCTTGGCTGATACCCCAGCGCATTGGCGACAGGCGGCTAGTCTATTGTTGCTCTCAGAGCAGAATAAAGAACCGCCCATATGGGGCCGCCCATTCAGCATGTTACCCAAAACCTGGTGTCGAGGTTAGGTTGGTGATGCCCCATCAGACTAAAAGATCCATCCGGTAAATTAACGACTGATATGCAAGTTTCGCCACTTTCTGTGGCTCGTCGAGTAGCCCATAGTAGCCCCTGTTCATTAAAGAGGTGACGAGGTACTGGGTGAGGCCATTCTACTTTGTGTAGTATCCTGGGTATCACAGGATCTAGCATCCGCCGTTCGATTCTTTCCTGGAAAAAGACGTGATACGATGATGAAGAACTTTGCAACAGACCTTCCACCGTTTATGGTCTAACATAAGATGGGAAAATGAACAAAAAGAGGTTTGGTGGCGCCCCACGGTTGATGAACGTTTATGCTAGGAATTTCCCATCTCAGGATGTCGCGGCCTGCAGTGTGTGGTCATGGAGGTTACCCTGTACATTCGCTGGGAGGGGGTGTATCCCCTCGCTGTCATCACTTCTGTCCGGTGGCACGGGCAGTGGCGGACCAACTCACCCTAAAGTGAGTTGACAGATTTGTCAATGGGATCACCACTGTCACGCAAACAGCTTTGGCCCGTCCAAGCTCCACAAACAGTGCAACAATGTGTTTGTGATGTTGTGGCTCTTGCTGCGGTGTCAGCCATGGAGCAGGGGCGGCGATATTCATTATGGCTGCAGCTATTACCTGGCCCTTGCCTTACATAGGCCATTCGAGTTGTTAGCTTTTGGGGCCGTGCTTGGGGTTTCGCAGCTCTAGGAGTTCCACGGAAAGGATGGGATTCTGTTGGGGCACATCACCCCTTCTTGCGAATATATACATCACCAGCTCCGAATTCATTGTTTTGGTTTCTTTTACTTTGGGGAGTTTTAGGGCACAGGCCTCATCTGTAAGAGCCTGGCTCAGGACTTAACATATTTCCGAGAAAGGCTCTCACATCATCTAGTAACCATGTGCAAGCTCCCGTCAGTATCTGCTGGTGGGCCTTCTTGTGGGGGTCCGAGGGCTTTTGCCAATTGGGGTGTAACACCAGGCAAAGAGTACTCAGGGAGATGCCAAGGGAGCTGAACCCTTTTTACATTCCTCCACCCTTCGAGCGAACGTCCTCGGGCGCCCCCGGGCATATCCCGTAGGATTTAGATTATTTGAGATCCCGTAGGATTGTGAGTTCGTTTGTTATTGTGACATTTCGTCAGTCCCCGTCCGAGATGGAGGGCTTTGTTTTTTCTCAGCTGGTAGACTTCTCGCCCCGCCTGTAGCAGCTGGCCGCTGAAAAGGCCTCTCGAGATGCTGGTGGTCGCGCTACGCGCGTATTTATAGCGCCGTACTGTGTACCGGCTGCTACACCGCCGGGCATCCACTTTTGGGGCAAGAGTATGCTGCATCGTGCCTGGTGCGCGATATGTCCGCAACCGGATTCGATTCGGGAGTTCCCACCTCCCAGCAATTCGCACCAATGTAACACCAGGCAAAGAGAGCTGAACCCTTACATGGGGAGCCTATTGGCAAATCCCCCAGTGGTTGTGGGTTCTAAACCTTCCCTTTGGGTTCGCCTTCTGCTGTCTATCCAGGTAACTTGCGATGTCTGGTCTGGGTGGGTGTCTTATCGCCTCAGGTGCAGTGCACAGCCAGCTGGCCTGCTGGATCTACTCTTCATGAAACTGGAGCCCGCTGTAACCACCACACACACATTGCAGAACATATTGCAGAAAGGATTGTTAATGACATAAATTACCACTAATAAATGATCTTAAAAATCATTTTACCGGTTCCTACAAGTCTATTAATAATTATCAATTCCATGGTTCCTTTCCTAGTATGTTTTAGTAAAACTATGCAGACGGCAGGTTAAGAAGAGATACACTTTTACTCGCCAACAATCAACCACCAGTAGAGAGAGATATAAAAGTAGTACCTGGTATCTTGGTGTAGAAGCACGTGGAAACAGACGGCGTCAAGGGGGAAACTACCCGCTTGTAATATGATGCATTGTTGAAGCCCAGGCAGTGTGGTGACACATTACACTCGATAAGCGCCACTAAAGGGGATAAAGCTCGACCGATGTCATCACCAGCATGGTCAAGGCCAAAGGTCGATGTGTAGCCAGCAAACTGAGGACAAGCTGCGGGTGAATGAGCAGGTACAAGGCACTCATATACGCCATGTGTGCGCGGCTGGACGGAGGTGCCTCGTGTCATGCTCACAGCGGAGGCTCCCTAGCCGACCACGCGATAGGAACACTACTCTACACGACGACTTGCAAGCACGCACCGGGCAGGTATGTATATGTTTCCAGGCACATATACATATATATGATGTGTGAAACAGGGGGGTGTATCTTCGCCCGTGGCAGCTACCCTGCGAAACCCTGCCTTCCCCGGTATTTCGGGGCACCCTCATCCAGTCACCCTAGTCAACTTCTCAGTGGATCGCTCAGGTTCCGCACCCACCACCAGCATCCAACGGAATCTGCCGGGTCGACAGCGGCCCAACTCCGTTCCTGGTCGGCTCGCAGGTTAACTTTATCCCAGGTCACCACCGTCCATCAACTAGGGGCGCTATGCCTTCCACCATCGGAAAGACTTTGACCCTAATGGGTATCGATCACGGGATCGACATATATATACATAGACGACCAAGCTTTTTACAGTTGCCCAGCACATCCAGCCATGCGACCCAGCCCAGCCCTTCTGATGAGCGCTAGCGAATACATAAAGCGTGGAGTGGAAGGGCGCTGGGAATGACGAATTGTTTGAACCACCAGTGTCCTGTCCACGTCAGTTAGGGTTTTGATCGCCTATAGGCGACATCCCCGTGAAATAGGTAGGGACGAGGTTTTACTGATGCACACTACATACATACATACACAACATCATAGGGGCACCTCGGCACATGTAGCAGCTGTTACATAGTAGTACGGCACACATGACGTTTACAAATACGCGCTAAGGCGCTCCACCAGCATCAGAAGAGGCCTTTTCGGCGTGGCCACCTACTGCAGCACATCATTGTGCTCGCTTGGTAGCTGCATGTGCATTTATTTGCTCATTTGTGGACTGATAGCATCCTAGCATGCCCACTACCAGAACCTCTATGTCTGTTGCAATTGCATCTTACTTACCTTCTACTACCGGCTGCTGTGTGATGATCTGCTGCGCCGTGGCCGGCAAGGAACCGGCGGCAGCCACCTGGAGGAGCCCCAACAACACCATGCACCTCAATTGACGAGCGTATTTCCGAGGGAGGCCTGCAGCAGCCGTACATGTTTAGTATGATCAGCGCTGTGCTCAGATAGATAAACAATAAAGCGATGGCTGGCGACGGTAATACTTGATGCGTAGGAAAAGTGTGTATATATATGGCCGCTGTTCTTTATCCTCCTTCACAAATTATTGCACGGAGCGAACCAAACAAAGTCTGAGCGCCGAAAAGCCTTATCATGGCAATATCATGTGCGTGGTAATCACTACAAGTTGTTGCATTTGATGTAGATGAATAGTGCGGCGGCTTCATGTGGCCTCACTCATCTCTCATTCTTCGTTCTATCGATCTCCCCCCCTCAATGGATTGTCCCTGCCTGCCTGTCCCCCTCCGCGTGCCAGCCGCGCAAGAAATGTGGGTCGCTTTGTGAAAAATCGGTCGGTGGACGTTTTATTAGTCGGGAAAACATAAAAAGCCAATAGTGATGTATGGCCGCGACTCAAATCCTCTGCTGGGCCTTTTGACCAATAATGTGCCGCCGTGTACAAAGGGTAGGATGACGGTCGGACTACTGTGTGCGACGCCTCCATTGTTAAGCATATGTATTAAACGTGATTCCCTACGGAGCGGCCAGGGCTTGATGATTGTTGCGCGCGTCCCTAGCAGAGCGTCAGGTAAGAGTAGCACCTGGACGACCAAAAAAGCACCCAGCCGCATACCTCTCGTCAGAATCCAACTGCACAGACTACCAAAGCGCAGCAAGTGGTGCTGCATAGGAAAGCTGTGAATGGGACCGCCTGCTTATTTATCAGCTTTTGTCGCGGGTCGGTCGTTGTACGCGCGCTCCTTGCTTAGATTCACCGCGGCTTGCCTGTTGTCTGCTGCCTGTCCAATGCACGTACCAATGAAAATTATATTAAACAATTTAAATGAATTTGCCCAGCATCACTATCCGGCAAAAATGTTGTAACGTTTTGGCATCAGCAGGAAGCCCGAACGGCCAAGGTAGTAAGAGTAACATAATGTCACCTACCACTAATAAGCATGGCAAGTCTGATTATTAGTTGCAAGTATTGAATATCAGCTGTGTTCGTCGCAACAACATCCTCTGACCTTGCATGCGTCATATACCAAGGGTAGGGCTATTCGCGTCGGACTAAGGTCGTTCCTAGTACGACGGCCCGGGGACGTCCACTGCCAAGCGCATAACAATAGTTTCTGGTACTAGCTGGCATAATGTTGCGCTAAGAAGCTGTCAGCAGTGCGGGGCTTCACGGACCCTTACCGAGCCGCAAAATAAAAATCGTACCTGGACGAGCGACCTGGAAACCACCCAAGCAACCGCATACCTCTCGTCAGAATCCAATGGCACAAACGACCAGAGAAAATAGTCTGCGGTACTTGCTGCATAGAAAATTGTGAATTGGACCGCCGTTGGCTCTCCTGATAACTCGTCGTGGGTTGTGTCAAGGCTCGCTCAATGTTCAGGATTCGCCGCCGCTTGCCAGTCTTCTGGGCGCTAATACAAGCATGCATGTTGCTCTTAAAGATAATCTTCAGTGCTGTCCAAATTCATGTTGTAGAGTTTCTCACAACGGGAATTTCGACCGGCCAGAAGGTAAGCCTTACGTATACGAAGACTATGTTATTAGTCAAATTTTTTGCTGGCGACCCACATCACTTGAAAAATGAAAATCGATTGTGGTGCTCGTAACTCGCATCCTCTGGACCTGGTAATTACATACTGCGGGGTTCCGCATACCAAGCGAGGGTATGTAGGGCGACGAGCGAGGGAAGGCGGATTGCGCTCGGCGGCCTCTAGCTTGGTGCCCCGCCCAGGATTTCCGCTGGCCAACATGAATGTTACAAATTATAAATTCCATCGCAAAGCCGCACTAAAATGACGCAGCCAGCACTTGTATCACAAAGTCAGATTCGCATCTGCTGGACGAGCGAAGGTACACAAGCAACGAAACATACTTGCTTTCCGTCAGAACCCAATATAGACGACTAAATTATAGGAAGAGGCGCCGCATAAAAGATGTTCCCAATGGACCGCCGGCTTCCCATTACCGAATAACACGTCCGAGCTCCATTTCTCGTCATTATCATCTGTAGAATTCACCGCGCGCTGTCTGTATGTTCACCGAATGCAAGTCACCATAGCCAAAAACCAAATAATTCTGTGTTGCAGAATCTCGGCATCAGCAGCAGGCAGGAAACGAAGCTTGATCGGCCAGGACATAGAAGGTAAGGGTTACATACCCAGAGGGTTGCAGAGATGGGGGATTGGGGGCAGGTACTGGTCAGGCGGGATGGGGAATAGGGTTGACGACGTCAGGATGGGATGTGGGGCTCAGGGTGAGGATTAGGGATTAGGCGTGCTACACTACTTTTGGGATGGGGATTGCTGTCGGGGGTGAGGATGGGGATGGGATCCCTGTCTGAGGGATGGGGATTGCAACCTTGACCAAGGAGGGGATTGGGAGCCCTGGCCAGGGATGGGGATGGGACCCTGGTCGACAGGACGGGGATTGCAGGCTTTCGCAAGTTTAGGATGAGGTCGCTGCCATAGGATTGGGAACACAGTTGGAGGATTAGAATTGGGTGTTCTGCTGTAAAATGAGGCTGCAGGTGCAGAACTTGGAATACTGACAGGACTGCAAAACAGGCCAAGGATGGATGGTTTAGTTGTCCATAGTTGCTTGCATGGAAACTCAAACAAACACAAGGAGGTTCTGCTTGCAAGTTGCGTCCCATAGCAAACCAAACTCAAACACAAGGAAGTCCTGCTTGCAAGTCGCTTCCCATAGCTAACCAAACTCAAACACAAGGAAGTCCTGCTCCGGCATCGGCCGACTGCCCGATGGGGTCCATCCCAAGCGTTTCCACGATGACTTCGGCCATGTCCCTGGCGAAGCCCAACCCCGTCAATTTTGCCAGCTTTTGACGCTTCTGCAGAAGGTTAACACCATTGGGAATAGAACAGGCATGGAACGCGACTTGGTGTAAATGTGAGAAACGTGCACCATTGGTGCCAGTTCTTCAGTCAGACGCAGTCCAACCCCGTTCTTACCTTGTCCGGCCCATGCACATCCACACACAGGGCACCATCGGATGCCATTCTGGAAGAGATAACAAACGGTCGTCGGACTGTTAATAGCTTGCGCTTAAGAAGGTGGGCGTCTTCCAAGACGAAGTTTGGGACACTTTGAATAAGACCCGAACGTAATCTGTATGCAATCTGCAGACCCTACTGGGGGACAAGTCCGCAGGAGGCGTATCAACATGCAAGACGTTATCAACAGCAAGCCGGTTTGGGGGTCCAAGTACAGCCTGTCACGCTGACTAGTTGGACAAGGCTGTATGCTCTTCTGCGTGAAGGCATAATGACTTCACCAGGAGAGCAGCAAGAATGAAGTCGCCACTGCGACCCAGTTGTACGACAGCACCACAGAACCAGCCTTAGACGATCCGGTCGCTTCGCTCCGTCGCATCTAAGCCAACAAAACGTTATCAACAGCAAGCCGCTTTGGGGGTCCTGGCTCAAAGTGAGGCCCACCCTGGAGTTAGTTGTTAAGCTTTCATGTTACTTCCTCATACAAACTGCTTCTCTAGTACTGTGATGTTTTATTGGTTATATTCATGCAAACTGAGCTGAAGTTGCAAGGCGCGAAGATGCTGGCCGCATCATGCCGCACCGCATTCCCAAGCCAGTATGCACAACTCTGAGAAAGTTTGCAGTCTTTATTGTTTTGTTTTGTTGTGGCACAACTCCACGTAACTCTGCACATTATAGTGCATAGGAGCAATTCTTGCGCAGAAGTCCAAGTCGACTCAAAAGCATTCCAATTGGACTGTCTGGCTTGATGTAATGTTATCAGGTTGTTTATCGTAGCGCTTTGGCGCACCCAACGTGGAATGTTGGCGCCGGAATGTGCAGCTGAACTCCTGCGCTATGAACCTGAACCAATGGTGCACGTTCCCAGCCATGGACATTTTGACAGAACACCCTTGTACGTTCTGCCATTCTAACCACAGCATTATAATTTGTTGCTGTGGCCGTCCTTCGAACATAACAGTCCTTCCCCCCTTAGGACGCGCGATTTGCAATAGCAGCCAGTGTGCAATTAGATACGTAGACCTCTGTGATGCGAGTTCTTCCTCAGTCGAGATCCGCTTCAACGAGCGTTTGTCGCTTCAGTCTGCTTCGGAACGAACACAGCCGGGCGGAATTTGACGCTAGAGGAAATAAGCCATAGAGCAAGAGAAAAATATCTCGCGGAAATAGAAAACAACCCTGGTCATTCCCCTGATTTACGCCTAAAGAGAAAGCCGATATTACAGCACCTGTGTAAACGTAAGGAGTAGGTTTGTAGCTGGCAAGGGATGGGGATGGGACCCTGGCTGACAGCTTTCGGATCTGAACACAGCTGCAGGATGGGGATGGCCCTGGTCGAAGGGATTGGGAAGAGACCCTGGCTGGCAGGATGAGGATTGGGGGAACACAGCTGCAGGATGGGATTGGAAACCCTGGCCATAGGATTGGGGATGGGACCCAGGCTGGCAGGATGGGAAACCTGTCTCAAAGGATGGGATTAGCACCGGGCCCCTAAGATGGGAGATGGGAGTCGGTCACCCCAGCCAGGATGGGGGGATGGCTGACCACTACCACACCCCGGGATTGGGGGATTAGACCGTTTTTGCAACCCTCTGACATACCGATATCATCACTATTAGTAACTTTCAAGGTCTTGGTAATCTAAGACCAGACCAGACCGTCAAGGTCCTGGCAAGATGTAAAACCAATTGTGACCGCAATTCAAACCCTCCGGGCCATAGGCTAACCCAGAAACGAAGGGTACGGTAGCGCAGCTGCGCACGGTTGCCCTTACATACAGTAGCCTGCAGGTGCGGATACGTCCACTGCGGCCAAAAATGTAAGCTATCGCTGATGGTGTAGCGCTCTTAAGACCCGGCCAGCGCTTGGCTAACGCACAGCAGCCGCCCCAAGCAAATTACAAAGTAGAAGTTGCCCATAGCGTTTACCAAAACAGTGCATATGCAAAATGTTTATAATAAAGAATAGCTTGTTTATCATTGCTCTTACATGCCGCTTGGACCAGCAGCGACTGAAGGCACTTAAGCAACTAACTGCATACTTCGTTGCGGTCAGAAACTAGTTGCAAGTACAACCAAAGCATAGCAAGTTGTGCTGTATATAGGAAAGTTGTGAAGGACAACAGGTTTAATTACGTGTCCTCCGTGCTCGCTCCGCACTTACGATGCTTAGAATCCGCCGTCCGTCGTCGCTTCCTTGCCAGTTGTCTGTGTTTACCCTCAGCTACTCCGGGAAAAGTATTTCAGATAATGATAAGATGCCTTCTCCATCCAGCACTGTCAGCACTGTCCGAAAAAAATGTTGTACGTATACCGTAATGATACGAATGTTTCGCGCCACACCTTTCGCGGGTACCCCAAAAATATAGCTGGAATTTTTCGTTTTGTTACACCAATTCGCGAGGGCTGTCAGTTTTTATGGCACACATTTGTTTACATGAACACACATTTCGCGGGGCTCCAGGAAGCCACAACAAGGAGCGACAGCGTCAAAGCTCCCAAACTGCTGGACATATCGTTTACTATATGTTTACGCAGAAGAACAGAAGACAGGCCCGTTGGTGCGGCACCAAAGTCAGGTGCGGTTTACCAAACGCCCCGATTCTACACCATGTACACGGCGTACAACACATTCGTGCCACACATTTTCGCGACAAGTAAATAATTTTCCCCATAGAGCTTTTTCCACTGTGACACACTTCGTGGCCCAAAACGAAAGGTGTGGCGCGAAACTTTCGTATCATTACGGTATAAATTTGCGAACGAAGCCTTTGCAGTGGAAAGCTCGTTCGGCCGCGTAAAGTAAGCCTTTTTTGTCGGCAATCCATGGCGGCGTTGCGTGCAAGAGTCGGTACCGTTGTTTGTGAGCAGCTAAGTTTAACATATGTACATCTCCCCGTTGACGAACAATTGGGAATACGAACGAGCGAGGCCTACCTGCACTTGACGATGTACATGTATCATATGGTATCATATGTGTGGTATCATATGTATGACATGGTATCATATATGTGGGTTTGGTAAGGCGCGACCATTGTCCCCGGGAGGTCGATACCCGTTAGGGTCAAAAGTCCTTCCGATGGTGGAAGGCATTGCGCCCCTAGTTGATGGACGATGGTGACCTGGGATAAAGTTAACCTGCGAGCCGACCAGGAACAGAGTTGGGCCGCTGTCGACCAGGCAGATTCCGTTGGATGCTGGTGGTGGGTGCGGAACCTGGGCGATCCACTGAGAAGTTGACTAGGGTGACTGGATTCGGGTGCCCCGAAATACCGGGGAAGGCAGGGTTTCGCAGGGTAGCTGCCACGGGCAAAGATACACCCCCCTGTTTCACACATCATATGAGCTGCGGCTTTCTTTCTCCTCTTTGATATTTATGGCAGAAGCTAGTCGATTCTTGAGAAGCTCGACGACTGCCGCTCGGTCACCGGTGACACCTGTTTGATATTAAATGCCTAGCTGTCAGTTCGTTCCCTCATATGTGGCAGGGACCGGCCCTATCTATGATACTGGGGCAGGATCTATAGACGGCAAAAAGCTTTACGGACGGAGTACTCGCATGTATATAGGTGCATGGTTCTAGCTAGCGAGGTTATTACAGTATCGTTTATAGGGTCTATTGTTTACTAGACCCTAGGCCGACAGGCCCCTTTCGGCTCTCGTAGGTGCGTAGTTCATCGTCATCTGATGTTGGGATGGTGGTGAGCCCAGGGCTGCATCCGTCCATCACACGACGCAGGCAGGTAGGGTGGTGTCATCGAGTTGGTAGGTAGTCTTCCGCTATCTTTTAAAGGCGCGAGGACTCCTCCTTCACAAGTCGCCACTGGTTAGTCACTTGTTTTTACATACTTCTGGCGCATCAGGCTATCCTCCTTGGCATCAGCTTCACTCCTTCGTGGTTCATCTTTCCCCCTCCTCCTCCCCACCTCCTCCATCTCCCCCACCTCCTCCTCCTCCTGCTACTGCTGCTACTGCTGCCTCACAGGAAGAACCTGCGGCGGCTGGTCTTGTTCTCCTTCTTGGGCAGCCACTCGAACTCCCCGTTGCGGCTGTCGAAGGTGCCCTTCTGGAGGCTGAGCAGCTTCAGGGAGAAGCGGGGCCCCAGCTCCTGAAGGGAGAGAGAGAGGCGAAGGGGGTTGGGGAGAGACCGGGTAAGACAACGCCAGCTACCCAGCCAGCCAGCTACCCATCTCGGCAGCCCAGCTAGCCCGAGCAGGCACGAACCGGAGAGGGCTGCCAGGAGCTGCAGCAGCTCCCCTCACCTGCAGTCGAGCTGTGACCGCCTTCTTCTTCTTGGCGGAGTCCCCCTTGGCGTCCCCCGAGTCGCGGGTCTCCTTCTCCTCGAAGATATACCGGTGATGCCTGGGGAGAAGGGGAGATGGGGAGGAGGGGAGGTGGGGAAGAGGGGAGATGGGGAGGAGGGGAGGTGGGGAGGAGGGGAGGTGGGGAGAGGAAATCATGTGCAACAAGCAACAGTATGAGGTGTCGGTGGGTGGCGCAGATGGGGAAGGAAGGGGAACAACGAAAGCACGGTTAGGGCAGTTAGGTCTCGCTGGCGAACGGGGTTGGGGTTGGGAGCGAAGCCACCTGCGGGGGACAGCCACGAACGAGTGAAGCAGATTCTCGGGAGCCGGGCGCCCGGGCAGGAGGGGAGAAAGTGTCGGAACGGGAACGTGCCATGTGCTCCTTGGTGGCCTTCATACGCACACGCACACACACGCACACACACACACACCGCCAGCCCGTCGGTCGTCTGTCAGCTTTACCGCTTTGCCATGCGGCTAGAACTGTCAGCCCCTCCTTTGCCGCCCGCACTCACTGCTCTTGTCTGCTGCCCTTCACCACCACCACCCTACTCCGCTAATAGCTACCTCGCTCGCTCACATGTGCACTCCCTCGCTCACTCACTTTACTCATCCACTCACTCATTCACACATTCACTCACCGCACGAATATGAAGTCCCGCTGGTTGTGGAAGGTGACCACACGCCGGCCGCGAAACTGGGGGTCCTGTGAGTCACGACGGCATGAGGCCGGGGAAGGGGATGAAGTCGGGGACCACATACATACATACATGCATACATACATACACATGTAACCCCTCTTTCCCCCCCTGTCCACCTGCGGGAAAAGCGATGCCAGCATGCGGCCCAGTCGGTGTCCCAGCCGCGTGTCAAAGTGGTTGAGTATGAGCTCGGGTTTGTGGGAGGTTGTACGGCCGTGTCCCTTTATGTCCTTGCCCAGCTTCAGATTTGACAGCCGGAAGTGAGCGGTGGGGCCGTCAGGAAGGTGCACCAGAAGTAGCCCGTTGATCTGAGGGGGCGGGAGGGGGAGGGGGAGGGGGAGAGGGAGGGGGAGTGGAGAATGCACAAAGCGTGGGGGGAACCAAGAGCAGGTTAGGCGGGAGGCGGGAGGAGGTTACGAGGGCGTGTGGGTGCGTGGGAGTTTGGGTAATTACGAAGTCATTCGTAGTTCATGACACTGCATGTCGTGGGTGCCTCTGCCCCGTTGCTCTCTCCACGTCGTCGTTTCCCTGATTCAGTCCTGTCCTGTCATGTCATGTCCTGAGCTGAGCTGAGCTGGACGGTCCTGTCCCTCATTCTCCCCAACCCCCCCGACCTTTCCCCACCACCTTACATCCCCTCCCCCGCAATCCCCCGCAATCCCCCCTACGATTCCTGCCTGCTTTCGGTCCTCATTGACCACCAGCAGATCGGTGTAGTCCCGGTTGGCGGCGAACTTGACGATCTTCTTTAGCGGGAAGCCGTTGCGTTTGTAGTACTCTGCACAAGGAAGCAGCTCCTTAGGGAGGGGAGGTTGCGGGGGGAGAGGGGGGGCATGTCGTACAGTTGACAGGTCAGTCGGTCAGCCTCGTGTAGAGCAGCCCCCACTTAACTGCCCCCCCTCATTCGTCCATTCCAGCCATCAGGCAAAATTACTAGCTTGATTGTTGGACCCCGGTCCCGCGGAGGGACTCTTTTAAGCACATGAGCTTTGAGTGTTCAATTTAAGAAACGCTGCATACTACCTAGCTTCCATGCTTCAAACCACTAGAGTTGAATTTAAAAATGAAATTATTATCTGTTTACAAGTTATAACTTTTCCTAATTCTTGTGGCAATTTCTACCCTTTTCAGCGTCACCAAAAGGTTAGCGCCTTCCGTCCTGCCACCTCCCCACCACCACCTTGTCCATCTGTCTGTCTGTCTGTCTGTATGTCCATCCCTAATGTCCCCTCACCAGCATTTCCGATAAGAACGTGTACATGATCTTGGAGGGCTTGTACGACGTCGTGATGAGCACCTTGGGGGCTCGGGCGTTGGCGAAGTGGGCTAAATGAGCGAACCGCGCCGCGTGTTGCGTGTGGCGGGGGCGGGAGGAGTGTGGCGTGTGGCGGGGGGATGGGGAGCAGGGGATGAAATATGTGATGCAAGCAGAAGCAAAGCACCCAAACAGCAATCGGCACCCAAACAGAAAGGGGGGAACTGCAAGGATGCGCAACTCCAAAGAGCAAAGCGCTGACATGTCCAAGGAGGCCGCGGAAGGGGCCCCGCCCCCGCCCTAACCCTCCCCGCCGCCGGCCCCCTCAACCCCCGACCACCCCAACCCCCACCCCACCCCACCCCACACACACCCGCAAATTCGTCATCGTTCTCGTCCGCCATGACCTCCGCGTCCTCTGGGTCCACCATCGTGTCATCCGCCTCGCGGGTGTTTTCAAGAGTCTGGGGGGGAGGGGAAAGTTGAGAAAACATTCGGAGGGAAACCGGGGGGGAAACCGGGCGGGAAACCGGGCGGGAAACACACATACACACACGTGTGTGTGGTGCGGGTAAACATGCAACGTGCGGGAAAGTGGAAAGTGAACTGCTGTCACGGTGTCCAGGAGGTCCGAAATTGCTGCTGCTGCTGCTGAGTGCAGGGCGCGATGACGTCATCGACCCCCCGTGGTTCCGGAAGTAAAGCCCATTCATTACTGCGATACCGACATATTCTGTGGGGTCGTTGTCATCATCTGGTCTCGTAAGATTGTCGTTGAGGTCCAGTGTGGGTGTGGGTGGGGTGCCGGGGAAGGTGAAACCCGAACATGCTAATGCGGAGGGCGGGCGGGTGGACTTATATGCAAGACGCTGCCGCCGCCGCCGAAGCCGCTAAGGGTTTCAGCAAGGGGCCCGGCAAGGCGCCCAAGACGCCAACCTCCGGGGGAGCCCTAAGCTGGGAGCTTGGTGGTGAGGGGGTTGGAAAGACGAACCACGAACGAGTGAAGCTGCTGCCACAAACGAGTGATGGGATTGGAAGGTGGATAGGGGATGGCGGGACGGGAGGTTGAGGAATGGATGGTAGTGGGGATAAACAGCAGCGGCAGCGGCTGCGGCAGGTGCCCTCCCACAGCCGCTGGGGTAACCCAGCACCTAAGCCCCCCTCTTCGATCCGTGGGTCGCCGCGCGGACCAACATACACCTATCATTCTCTTCACGAAGTTATTGCTACTAGTAATAGTAGTAATAGTAGTAATAGTAATAGTAGTAGTAGTAGTACGACACGTCTTCGGCAGCAACACCCTTTGACACAACGCTGTACGTCAATGCGCAGAGGACGGCTAGTGACTACTACTGGTGTGCACGACTCCTAAAACATGTCGGTGAAGAGTTTGCACAGCTTTCAGATTTGCTTTGGATTGCTACTTTGCTCAAATTTGCAGCTTTAAACGTCTGCAGTTCAGTGATTTTTTTTCATTTAGGGGGGGTCTCAATTTATTCCAACCTAAGTAACAAAAATGCTAGGGTCGCCGTAATGTATTCCCTAAGTGTGGGGCGCTGGGGGGGGCTACGCCCCCCCCAGACCCCCCGATAAGTTACAACTCCCCTCATAGACCAAGAGGCACACACTGAGTTGGCGCGTTTTCGTTCATGTGCGCACTCTTCATGCACATGCATAGATAGTTCTGGCACTGTTTGTGAACAAAAAGTAAATCCGACCAAGCAAAGGCCCAAAGCAAGCAACCGCATAGCAAATCAAAGGCCGTCACCCGCCACTGCAAACCACAGCACACTGGGACTCTACCGGTTCATCATGTACCGGCCCCTGCTGCTGCTGTCCAGCCACTTCCTCAGTGCGTCAAGGAACGGGAACGTGCCCAGGTCGAACAGGTCCTGGGTAAACATCCGCACACACAGCGCTAGGTGCTCGTCCAGGCGGTTGCGGGTGGGTGTCATCGGTCGCCGCTGGCAGCAACACCATTGCCGATGCACTACCGACAACAGCACCGCCGTCCCAAACGCCTTTATCAGGAAAAATTTCAGGCTTATCTTGCTGTTTTGGTGTTTGTTCGGCGTTCAAGTCGTTGCCTTTTGCGTGTTTGGCTATGTAAGGACCGGTCATACATTCTGCTATGCCGCGTTGACTCACGGGCTTGACCTTCTTACGGCCCCTCATATCTATTCTATGATTGCAAATACTAAGTTCTGCACACTTCGGAGCAATCTGGCAGCAATGGACGTTTTTGGCTGGAGGAATGAAAATGTACGGATCGGCCTCAATTTGTTCCTTATTTCCAAAGCCCAAAATGGCCTCTTTATTCCTTAAAAGGAATATATTACTTAAAAAAAACACTGCTGCAGTTTCTTTGTGTTTCTTAACTCTATTTTTTCTTCCCTCTCTCCCGGCCCCCCTTCCACGAGCGGAACAGTACACAATAAACACAGCACAGGCCTCTCCCCCCTTTTACCCCCCGACTACCACCGCCCCGTGTACCCACACTGCGACATAGGGCCCCTTCCACCCGCCCCCCCAAACAAACACGCGCTCCTGTGAAGGCGCATGCTGCGATCTCTGCCTCTGACACCCCGGCTGCCATTCGCCTGCAGGGGCTCCACCGCCGCCGTGTCCCTCAATCCCATGAACCCGCCACCTGGTGCTCCCCTCCCACCACCCTCCCGTCCTCGGCCCACTCTCCTTCCTTTCGCTGCCCCTTCCCAAGCCCAAGCCCACCCCCTCGGTCGTGACCCTAGGGAGGTCCTTCTTGCCTAATCAGGAACCATAAACCCCACCGCCCTCCCCAACCCCCTCCCTCCCTCCTTCCTTGCCTTTTTCGCGACTAGATTCAATGTGTGGCGAATGCTGAGCTGTGTAATTCTGGTGCCACGCTTTTACTAAGCTAAGCTAATAACGTTACGCTAAAACCCCAATCCGGTCCGTATGTAGGTACAGCCCGGTCCTTCGCGCGCACCCACATGCTGCACGGGTTTGGGTGGCGGCTCCAGCCCCAACTCCTCCGCGCGTGCCGCGTCCTTCTGTCGCTTGCGCCGCTCTTTAGCCTTGGTCTTCTGGAAGTTGAGGAGAGGTTGCAGCAGAGGGTTGGGAAAAGGAGAGAGAGAAAGAGGTACTTGGAAACTGGAAGACAAGGACAGGGGCCCCAAATAGCTGTTCGCTCAGGAAGAACAGTTGGGATGGGTAAAGTATGCATGTTGACAGAAAAGTGTTTGCTTGAGGCATGATGATACCAGAGAGACAACTACCGTCAACCCAATCGAAAGCATCCATGGTGCACAGGACACCGTCCTTTCAGAGCGGCGAGCAGGCTCCATGGAGATGGCGGAAGGGGCACGTTGTGTACGAATGTCGGTGTACGGGAAAGAAACACAGCAGCGGTCACCCCGCTTGCCTCCTTTTGGTGCTTCAGCTTGTGGTAAAGCTCAGAGCGCTTCTGCTTGTTACGGATGCCGCTCGTCTGCTGACCAATGCTTCCGCCGCCACCGGAAGCCTTCGCCCCGGCCACATCAGCGCTTTCACTTCCAGTGCGGTCGGCGTCATCTCCACTTGTTGACGGTTCATCGTCATTTGGCTTGTGCCGTTTGGGGTTCTTTTGTGTCTTGACCATTTCGAGTTAGCACAAGAGCACCCAAGTAGGTCAAATTGCACGCAAAACCATAAGCAAAAACTTTCCTTATTCCTTAAAGAAATTGACTGTGCATGACTTAGCCGTGGTGCGATGTATTACTGTATATAACGGAAGGCTAAACTAGGTTAAGCACCCTAGACAAGGACTCTCAAAACTTACAAAATTGTAAAAGGCTTAGATGGTTCTATGGATATGGAATGAGCGAGGGTGTTCATGTGAAGCGCTGCGCTCCGAAAGCCAACGTTCGTCTTGACCAACTACCCCGCCTTCATCACGAGAAAGGGTCATGCCTCATAAAAGTTAGCATAGTTGTCCTAGGTATGCAACATGGTTGGCGGCAGGGAAGCGCGGTGACTGTACCTTATACAGCAGGTGTCCTGGAACATATCCCAACCATTTGAACCGCTTTGTATGTTTACCTCTATAACTTTGATACAGTCAAATGTCGGAATAGTGAAACCTTGCGCAGTTCGGCATAGTTAGACTATCAAGCGACGGTTGAGCGTGTATCTTTCCTTCCTGCTTTCCGCCTTGCCCCTGGGGCTCACATGCGATGGCACAAGATGATGTGAACACAATCCATCAGGCAGTGACCGATTGGCATGAGAAGCTGCTGTCGCTTCCGGCTATGCACGGCGTCTTGCTCCACGGACCGGTAGGTGTAGAGGGACGCTTGCTTCATAAGCAGACAACGTTGCACCGAATTTGAATGGCCATTTTCGAAACGGTTCTCCGCCCCATACGCCCCACTAAAGCGTCAGGCGCCCCCGCCCGAGGAACGCGGCGCAGCTGTCGCCTTAGCGGCCCAGCACTTAGCTACATGTCTAGAGGTGCGAAGCGAACCTCTGCGGAGTACCGTCGGGTTGTTCTCTTCTGTGACCGCCAGTGTCTGAGGTGTTTCTACTGTCCAGGGTTTGCAAGGATTAATCTGACCCATTGGTTTGTTTTATTTACATGGCACAGGACAAAAATTTACCTGATGGACTGATCAACGACTTGCTAAGCGTCTGTGAGACGTTCACCGCACTGTGCGGCGTCTCATTACCAAACAACTCGCTGGGTAAGCTCAATTGCGCTTCCCTGTATCAAAAAACTTCGATTATTTGAGCCTGTGATTCCAAGTCTGTATCATGTTGTCCATAGCCGCGCTGCAGCCCGTGTGCGCCCGCCCCGTTCGATGCCACTTGCTGCGCCGCATGCACATAGTTCTCTCCACAGGTCTGCAACAGACAGAGATGTTATTCCATTCGAAAGCTTCTCCCGCGCGTGGCACACGTGTCTGTGTTTGCGTATCTGTTTTACACATTCTGGAGTTGCATTACAAAGGTGCAACGGGAGCCGTGATACATACCCATATCCCTACGGGACGCCTAAGGGATCAGACAAGGGTTGGCGCCGTGTGGTATGTGCAAAGCATCCGCCATCCAGTAACTTTAAAGTATTTGTCACACCGGCCATACGAACGACAGCAAATGGCTCGGCCGGACGCCCAGGCAGCTTCTCAGGTTACACACTCGACCGAAAAAGTGATGATGCGGTCCGGAGATGTATTCGTGCAGCCTAACCTGCGTGCTGAGTCCAATAGGACGCGCCTGCGCGCACTCCTCGCATCCGCGCTCCGAAACCCGGGCCTGCGTTGCCCAATCCATTTCCTCCGCCGTCGACCCCATTTCCGCCCCTCCCAGCCATGTGGGGGTTACGGACGGTTAACCAACCCTCCAGACACACACACACACACACGCACACACACACACACACACAACAGACGCACCCAGACACCGATCATGCGCACAGACGTGTCCGTTTATTTTGCGCTTGTCTGTTTGTATCACTCCTCGGCACTCGGCACGAATGCCGCCGTCTGCTGGTATTCCCCGCCGGCAGGAGCGCTCTCCTCCCCCGCCCATGGGGCCCTCTGGGTGGGGTGGGGCAGCAACCGACCACTCAAGGCCGCCAAGGTAAAACTGCTCAAGGCCGCTACGGGACTGCCCGTACACACCACCTCGATAGGCAGACGGGCGTCAGCCAGCTACTGCGTGTGAGTGTACGGACCATGAGGGTGTTACTGGGGTTGTGGTATTCTTTTTTTTGTTGCTGCTTACGTGTATTTCGATTGTTGGTTTTTATAATTCATTAGGAGGTGAAAGACTAGATTAACAAATTCACTAATAAATATTTTTCATCTTGTCTTCCTCCTCCTCCTTCTCCTTTCCATCTCCTCCAATAGCCTTGTGCGTGATCTAAAATAAATCTGGCTTCATTTCTGAATCCATTAAGGCCGATTGAGAGCTTCAATTACGCTGCCGCCTCCGCGAGAAATAAATTGTCATCGCACAATTCATAAATGTATCATTATTTTAAGTTTAAGATTCATACATTGTTTCCACTCATCCTCACACCATGCCGCGTCACCCCACATTTCGCTGCATTGATTGGAAGCTCGGGATTGCTGCTCGGGATGTACGCGAGATGATGTGCATGACCCCGGCCTTCCCCCATCCCCCGCAGATATGAGAGCATGGGCGGGTGGGAGACGTTGTCGGCGGCCGTTGAGAGCCTCTACAACCGAATGCGCAACGACCAACGGTGCGAGGTGATGTTTGCGGACGCCAACGAACAGAACCTCAAGACACACACGGTATGTACGACAAAATATAGGCGAATCCAAATATTTCAACCTTTACCATCTGGATTCCTCACAATACCGCGCTCCACCACCATTCTTAAGTTTTGAATTTCATTGGACGAGTTAAGGTTTTTATTTTGTTTTTGGAACTTGGAAATTTAAGTTGGCAAGTTTTAAGTTGGTGAAGTGTAAGCTAAAGAAATGTAGAGCAAGGTCGTGCACACGGTTACCCCAGGAAAAGGGAAAGGAATGTATTCGGCGCGGCTATCAGGGTCCTTCGTGGAAATCCCTGACTCGGCTGCTACTGCTGCTGCTGCTGCTGCTGATACCGCCTCCCATCCCGCAGTTCCTATGCCGCTTAGACGCGATCCAGGATTTCAGTATTTGTCGCGCTAGCTCTGCTTGTTCCCTCCATCAAATTTCCTCCATCTTCTTCTTCTTCTCCTCCTCCGTCTGCTGAAGTGAGAAGTGCCGGGTCGTTGCGCCCCTCCCCCTCCTCCTTTACGGACGCCTTTCGGTCAGTCCTACGTCTGGTACACTCTTGCCCTGGGGCAGCAGCTTCTTCACTCGTTTGTGGTTCGTCTTTCCCCCCTCCTTTCCCCCCCCCGGGTCACATGCAGTTGGAGTTCCTGACTTGCGCCTTGGGCGGCAAGGCCCGCTTCGCCTCCTCCACCCTGTTGACCAGTCAGAGGGACCAGCTCCGGAACCACGGGTTCGGCGCGGGGCAATTCGATGCGCTGCTGCAGCACATGAAGGTGTGTGTTTGGAGGCCGGGGCTACGGGGGCTTGGGGTTGGAGGGGAGATTAGGGTTACGGAAACCGCTGATTTGCAGATAGGTACGACAAACAAAAGACGATTGATGTACGCAGGGTGTTGCCCACCAGGTCCTCTTGTCGCTGCCTCTAGTGGCACTTCGCGGGGAAGGGTACTGACGAGGAGGGGGAGGAGGAGGGGGAGGAGGAGCAGTGGGGAGGGGATTGGGAGCTCAGCAGCTGCCGGACGACTTAGGGTTTTAGGACTGGACTGCGTTGGGTTTGATTTTTTAGTCCTCTGTTCTTCTTCCGTTCTCCTCCGGGGACTGAAAGCAAAAGGAGAAGAACACATTCACGATATTCACGGCAAGGTCAGGGTTTGCGACCTGAACACGAATTTAACGGCTGCCGAGGGGCTCCTCTTCCGGGGCACTTATTACCCTTTTCCGTCCCCCCCCGGGGAACTTCCCACCCCCCAACGACACCTTCAGCCCCCGGCGAGGTGACGTTTCGGTCCCCTCTCGGGTTTTGCCTCCCGGCTTTCAGGCGGTTATGGACGAGCTGGGCATCCATCCTGAGGTCGCCGCCTCCGCCATTGCCCTGCTGCGCTGTCACAAGTGGGTCGCCTGCGAGACCGGTTGAAAAGTTACTGGAGTTTGACTGAATTAACAATGCTACTTATTGGGCTAAAAAAGATCACGGTCCTGACTTTTGTAAGGGGGAGGTTACTTCGGGCTTTGTGTGTGTTGGGGATAGAGATGGGGGGGGGTAAAGGGAATGAAGGAGAGGTAGACTGGGGCGCCGGTTGGTTATTTTTTAGGGGTTGGATCCGTTCAGCGTGAGCGCTGGCGGATGGAGATGATGTGATACGTGACATATGGGATACAACGACGGCATGGAAGGGGGGTGTTGTGTTGATTAATGATAAGGTGAGGGGGTGTTGTCTTGGGGAACTTCTGGATCCGAAGGGGGGTGTTGGGAGTGCGGCTTCTGACTAGGCGCTAATGGCAATGTTGGTGGGAGATAAGGTGGTGGTTGCGGATTGTATTATATTATTTGAAAACCTTTCCAAGTATTTTGTCTCCTCCTTTTCATCTACTTCTCTCCTCGGGGAGCTCCTGGCCCCCACTTCCCACTCTAGTAGTGGCATGTGAACATCGGCATTTTTGGGGCCCTTCGCTTCTTGCACATAGCTTCCCCACACCATCACCACTACCACAACTTTTCCTTCCACCCCCCCTCCCCCCCCCACACCAATATTTAGGTACATGTTTGAGAAGCGGCCCTCCGACGACGGGGAGGAGGAGGCGGAAGAGGAGCTGTCGCCCACACCCACCTCCGCATCCTCACCCACAGCGGAGGCCTCCGGATAGGCCGGCGAGGGATGGAGGGGAAGAGCCACTCATCGACATCGCGAGACGTCTGACTGGCCGCACTCGTATCTATTATGAAGTAAAGGGAACGGATCGGAGCGGAGGGAGCGACGCGAACTGGTGTCTGACGCGGTTTGTTTGATGGGGTTGTTTTGACAAAGGGGGAGACGGGGACGCGGCGGGCGGGCCTGGGTGGCGGCGGCGGTGCCAGCATGCCTTGCATTTGTGGCAGAAAGGCGGCGCAGTAGTGGTGGTAGTGGTGATGGTGGTGGTGGTGGTGGTGGTAATATTAGTGATAGTGATGGTAGTAGTGGTGGTAGTAGTGGTGGTGGTGGTAGTAATAGTAGCCTTAGCAGATGGTTACAACTTGTAATGTCTAGCAAGGGCGATAGATGTTTTGCTTGGCGGGCCTTGCAAGTTGTTTTTTATGGCCGCATGACGTGCGGATTCGTAGAATGACGCAACTCCTGACGTTTTTCCCTCCTTAAGGTTTTTACAGGTTTGGAATTGCAAAGTGTGGTGTTGGTTCGTCGACGAAATTGCAGCAGACGATTTTTGTTGTGTCTTACATACGTTTTATATATACTCCGAGGCTTAGCGCTACCAGCTGCTGCTGCTGCTGCTGCTGCTGCTGCCGTTTACGTTATGTACTTGTCTGCGCACACACTTCGCGAGACAGCCTGCTGTTTCCACTCGAGGTGGCGTTAAAAGTTAAGTACTTTGTTTTATCTCCACAAATGTTCAGTTGACAGACGCGAGTTCCACCACAGGAAAAGTTTTGCGAGCAAGCGTGTGTGTACACAAGATTATTATTCTCGATCGGTCGTATATCGCGTTTTGCAGATGTTCAAATATGTCCTGTGAGGAAAAAAATATGCCTAGTCTGCCGTACGCACATGCTTTGTCGATGCTACAGTCGTATGATGCGACGTCCGCCAACAACAATTGTCTCTATAATTTCGCTGTCCCTGCTGTGTCCTCACTGCCACCGCCGGCTGTGTTATGTATCTCCTGCTCTGTCTGTGCACTGCCTTCTGCGCCCTTCTTCTTCGCCAAACCAACAGGATGCGTATTAGCTCGTACAGCCTGCTTCACCTGCTGCGAGCGAAAAGTGTTTTTCCGGTCCCTCGGTCTAACAACTTCCACACAGCGGCATTATTTGGGATTGTCAAGATACCATGCGAGCGGAGGTGGAGAGGTTTATGAGTTAAGGCTTTGGGGGGAGGAGGAACAACAGATATGTGTGTGTGTGTGATGACGGGGATCCTGTCATACGCTTCACGCCAAGTAAGTGCTTCTAGTACGTATGTATGTAAGTATGTGTGTATGTATGCATGTATCGTTATTGCAGCGGACATGGTGATGGTGGTAAGGTGGTAATAGCACCTGGTTGGTTGGTTGGTTGGTTGGTTGATTCACTTTTTTCTTTTGGATCGAGCGAGTCCCGGCTGTCGAGTGAGGCCCGCATCGAATGAATAAAATTCAGAAATCGAAAAAATTGATAAATAAATGGCGGCGAGGCTTGCGGTTGGGGATTTAGTTTTGGACTAAAATGCGTTCGACCCGGCGGTTGAGCACTTCTTTTTATTAAGCTTTACCGGGAAAAGGTGATTTGTGAGATGGAGTAGCTGCGGAAGCGGCAACGTGGTAACAATGCGGCATTGCGTTACGTAATAATGCATTACAAAACGCGCGTCGCGTTGTGTTTTCTTGGTTGTGTGCTTGTGCACGTGCTGTACCCGCTGTGCATGTGCGTGCCTTTGCATGTCTTTGCGCGCCCTCCTAACTTACCTCTTTTATATCACCCTCTTGCGCTCCTCTCTGACGTCGATTTGTTGGCAGCGGGTTTTAGCAGGAGGAGCGTGTGTGTGTTTTATACCTTGCGTTTTTTGCAGATGTAGGGGCACTTTGCATCTGGTGGACATGTCCTTGGGGTGGCCCTTCTTTTCTGGTGTCGCTTTTCTGGTGCTACGCTGCGTTTGTAGTTCGCCTGTCTGTCTGTCTGTCTGTCTGGCCGGACTGTCTTTCTGTCTGTTGTATTTTTAACTGCCGACTTGGGCGAATGGTGGGGTCGTGTGGCCGGGACTGTCGCTCGCCGCGTGTGCGGGGATGTGCCGCCTGAGTGATGCCAATCTACCCGCTTGTCGGAGCTATGTGTGATGTGATGTGATGTGATGTGATGTGATGTAGGGGCTGCGCCAATATCTTCTCTCCTCTGGTCCTCCTCCGGACCCGTTGCCTTGAAATGCTTGATGCTTGTTTGATGCAACACTTCGTTGAGTACCACTTTCTTATCTTAGGATCAGCTTTCGCACCTGCATGTCCCGAACGCGTGTTTATCTTCACTCCTTATGTATGCAAGTATGTATGTATGAATGGATGCACATATGTGTGTATGTGTCTATCCATCGATTTGCCCTTTACGGAACGGTTCAATGGCGGACTAGCGTATTACGTACGGCATGTACGTGTAATCAACCGTGGGCCTAGAGCGACGTGTGTGTGTATCACTTGCATCACGCTGTGCGCTATTAACAGCTAATAACACATACTCTCGGGCATAAGCATCGATCCGTGGCTAACTTGGCCGTTAGCGGTTTGGAGGCTGATTGGCGCTTTGCTGCCGTACTGTGGGTACGACATTTGGCGGAGTGAGAGACGTAATGGTTGCCAATTCCACTGAATTTTCCCAATTGCGAAAACGGCAGGCAGTGCTTTTCTCCCCTCTTCCTCCTCCTCCTCCTCCGTCCCCTCCTCCCCCTCCTCTTCCTCGTTCGATGTATCAAAGTTATGGCTGCTTGCTGCTGCTGCCTCTCCTCGGCCAGCGGGATCCTGTCTCTGCAGTTGAATATTCGCGGTGTACCCACCAGAAGTCTGCTGCTGGAGTGGCGGAGCTGGTTGAGGTTGAGCAGAAGTGAATTGCGGAAAGGTCGGCAGCGGACAGGACACCACAGGATGAAGGAGATCAGGAGGCTGAGACATTTTTGTTACCTCTCTTCTGTGCACGAGTGTAGATTACTCAGGAGGCATACATTATCACAGATGCAACACACGCACCCACGCACACACAATTTTTGTCTTGGGCATGTGAGTAAAGTGTAAATTGTGGGCACCGTGTAGGTTAGCGCTTTCGAAAATAAATCTTTTGCGCGACCTCGCACCTGCTTTCTCGCAAGTCGATCGACTGTTATATATTTTGTTGCGGTGGTCATTACTAGGGGGGCCTGGTCACTGTGGTCTGCGGTTGGCATCATGTGCACGGTGCATGCTGGTTGTGATGGGCAGCATGTGAGACGTTGGTGGGGCCTTATAAGCCTTATATGTTTGTGTCCGCTCTGGTCTAGACGCAGATCTGTGTAGAGCACATTAACGAACCTCGTCCTGTAAGAACCTAGTTTTGTTTCAAAACTGACAAAAAAAACAGCTTTGCCCTGCATTTGCAAGTCAATAACCAAAACGTTTCACGAAGTTGCTGATGATCGAGATACACGGGCGGCAAGAGGTCGATTAACCATGCCGAAAGGGAAGGTTAATCAAGGCAGAGGGGTGCAAAGTGGTCCCAATCCCCTAATCCAGGGGGTGGGTACCGGTCAGCAATCCTCTAATCTCAACAGGGGTGGACCACTTCTAATTCCTAATCCAGTGTGGTGGTCTAATCCATATCCTAGGGGGGGGGTCTAATCCTAATCCTGTGGCCGGGTCCCAATCCCAATCCTGGGGGGGGGTCCCAATCCTAATCCTGGGGCCGGACCGCAATCCTAACTCTGAGGCTGGGGTCCCAATCCTAATCCTGTTGGTCGTGTCGTAATCCTTATCGTGGAGCTGTTATCGTGTGACTGATTCGGTAAAACCTTAATTTTGGCTGGGGTCCAATCCTAATAGAAGGGTGCCGTGACACGGAAACACACAGTGCCATACAGGCGCGAGGCGATGGCAATGCAAGTGCGTAAAAAAACCCAATGCAATTTTACAGCGGGTATATGATCAAACGAAGTAAAATATGAAACATAAAAAGCAGGCTGACGAAGCTGCGCACCCTGGCCATTCCTGCAGTATCGTGCCATGTTTATACGGTTGTACGACAGTCGCACGGAACCAGACTTAGAGACTCTGGTCGAGCTCACCATGAAGATCTATCTATACACTGCCGCAGAGCAGTGGTGGAAGATTAATCCTGCACAGGGCCTGGACCAGGCTGTATACCCGATGGTGGTTGGATAATGAAACCAGGCGGCGGCGGCAGGATTTGCAAGGATAGGATGGCGATTGGCACCGGTGTGAGTGCATTTGCAGATGGCGCAGCTGAAGAGGATGCGCTCTGTGCATCAGAAGTAGCTTGGCCTCTGAGCTGGTGTGTATGTAGCTGGCTAGAGGATTCGATCAGGTGCCGGCGCCTTGCGTTGATAAGGGAGAACGGTTAGGACTATGACCGATATAACGCCCCTCCAATACGGAGTACTTCGGCGGTTGTTCCCGTTGGGGTATACGGTTAAGTGCCCCTGGCCACCGTCAGGCCCGGATCGATACATGTAACACGCAAACAGAAGCGCGAGGCAGGATGGTGCTTATAGGCGATCTGGCAGCCCTTGAGCCCTCGGCTCGTGTTAGGGCGGTTTGCAGGTACGGGGAACTCACCCACGACCATGTAACACACACAGACACAGAGACAGAGACACACACACACACATAGGCACTTTTGGGCTACATACACTGACGGTGGATAGATGCGGGGTTGGGAAACTACTCCACGACGTGCTGGCTCATACGGCGGTTCGTGGACAGGCATGGACACTGCAATGTGCTATCACCTACTTTTATCTTACCGAGCATTCCGTTCATTCCACCAGCACATAACAAAAAGATGGAAGGTTTACTCGTTACCTAGGGCGACACGTACAAGGTCCGGATCCAAGGGGTCGGCTAACAGGGGCTGGCGAAATCCAGCACGCAGTAGCATGTAAAGAGAGGTGCACGCACAATATACACATTCGCACTGCCAGCGTTTTAGTCCACAGCTTCCGTGATTTCCGCTTGCTGCAAAAGGCCATATATTAAAGGTCATATTTGCAGACCTCTGCAAAAGGCTATATATGTTTAGGTCGTGAATTATCCTTTGGACTCATTCATGTTTTCGATTATAAGTTTACTTTGTTTTTTGTTTAGCAACTCTAGTCGGGGACGTGGACGTAGGGCCGTGAGAAGCGGAATCGTTGCGAGGAGCGGTGTCTAGATACTACCGGGGCGGCTAAAGATGCCGTAGCAGCATATTTCCGTATCCAGACCGCTGAGTGCGTGCATGTGGCCGTTTCAATATTTGGCCCCCCCCCGGACCCCGCCTCAAACTCCCCGCCGGTGAAGCTGCTGAAAGAAGCGTGCGCGGGCAAGGTGGCTCGGGCTGCGCTCTCACGACACACACCCAAACAATAGTCGTCTGATCGTTTCGTTCCTTCGACGGGTCATCTTGGTAACGACGGACGGATTCATCATATGCCGTACGAATCGACAACACAGGTAAAGAGGGGCAGAATAAGAACTATCGGCTACCACTCGTACCTAGGAAATGGTTAACTATTGACATGGCGAAGGCCACTCACACTCGCACAGATTTGTCATCAGCTTACCGCTTTACCGCTCCCAAAACAATCCTACGCCATGCGCTGTCCAGAGCCCACAGCCCCGGAGCCCAAAGCGCGCATGCCGACCCAAGCACGCATCATGGTTTCCGCATCGGATTTAAAAACCAAAATAAAAATGGAAATGTCCATTTGCTCTTAAATTTGTACACCGTACACACACGAACGGCTTAGTTCAATAAAAGATGTATACATACACGTACGCGCACCGCATCCTTGCTACTCTTCCTCGCTAAGCTGTTCATTTCATTTTGAATGATGACCCTTTTACCTTAATGACAAGGTCAGAATCACCTGCCTCCCGAATGCTGTTCCCCGACATAGCCGTGTATATGCGCCAGATTACACCTACCCCTAAACTCGCCATCACCAGCACATCACATGCAATTCAACCCTAAACTGAAGAATAATAAGCGGAATGTCAATACAGGAAGTAGACAGCGTTGAGGACACGAAGCCAGATAATAACTACCTGCTCACCTCCCTGTCTCTGTTGCCTGCCCTATCTGTCTGCCAGCCAGCCCCAGCCAGCCCCAACCAGCCAGCCAGACAGACAGCACTAAACAAAACAGCTGCAGCAGAAATAAACTGACAAGATAAAAAATATCCGAGTTGGGGATCGAACCCTAGCACAGGATTCTTGCTCGAAGAAAATCAGACAGGATCACATCGCAATGCCAACTCCCTTCTACTCGGCGGATTCCTCCATACATTCTACACGAGCTACACCCGAGCCACCCCCACCCTCTCACTCGCATTGCGCAACAATCCCTTCCTAGCACACATCAAGGCAAAAAACATTTCCCTTGACACACAAATAAAGACACATCAAGGCAAAGATACACACGCGCAGGACAAAAGGATATACGGAAACCCATACAACTCATCCACACCACCGCAAAAGCTGGCGCTGAGGATTGCGCCCTCTTGGTTTCGTTTCCAGCTTCTCGTCTTGGCGCACAAGGTGCTGGTCCTGGAATCGCATCACCTTCCTGTATCGCCCCCTGCAGGGCTAGCGACCCAAGCAATGCCCATCTACCAGCATAAGCAGAAGCAGAAACAGCCTCCCCTGGCCTGCATCATGGTTAGCCAGCCAGGTGCGCCCTACCAAGACATGGTAGGACTCACTCGACGCCGCAACCCGCCCATTTCCCTTTCCTAATCCATTTCCATGTATAGCTTGATGCTGCTCAGCCGTTGCTCCTATATAGCTATTGCTGTCGCTGCTGCTCCTGCCGCTGATGATGATTGTGATGTTGATGGTGATGTTGATGGTGACGATGGTGTTGTTGCGTTAGGAGGTGCTGTTGCAAAGGACCCACAGCCGGTGCCCCCCCTCCCGCTCCGAAACTCATCCAGCTGCCCGCCCCGACGGCCTGCCCATTTCCAAAACCCAAGAACCCGCCCTCTACTGCCGCCCCGGCCCCGCCAGAGCCGGAGCCGCCCGTGGCTCCCGGGCTGCCGACAGCGGTGGACGATGCAGCCGCGCTCGACCGACGGAGCTCGCTGCTGCTGCCGCTGCCCGCTGTTACCCCCCTGCCCTGCGCCGTAGATGCCGAATCAGGTAATGTCGCGTGCGGCTGCGGCGGTGCCGCCGCCGCCGCCGCCACTGCCGCCGCCACCTTTAGCGCATGCTGCGCAGCCAGCGCCTCGCACATGCCCTTGACATGCCGCAGAACAACCGGCAGCAGCGTCATCGCGTCGCCGTTGACACCGCCGTTGGAAGCCTTGTTTGCTTCTGAAAAGGTGGACGTGGAGGCGTGGGATGACGAAGGCGCGCGATGCGAAGCGAGTGAGGATGAGGGAGATGCCGATGCTGAGGAAACCCAGAGCGACTTTAGCTCTGACGCCAGACGTTCAAACTCGGGTTGCCATTCCAAAACGCCGGCAGCAGCAGCAGCACTGCCGCCATTGCTGCCGTCTGTAGCGGCGGCGGCGGAAAAGAGCTGCTGCAGCTCTGCGCCTGCTGCTGCTGTTGTTGCCGCAGTCGCCGCCGCTGCAGTTGCTGGTACGGCAGCTCCCCCCGGCCCGGAAGTTCGCGAAACAGCGTTCGGTCGATTTCCCGGAACCACCGCAACGGAGGACGAGGTCGACTCAATGAGCAGATCCCTGAAGGGCTGCAAGTACGACGGTAACGATGTGGCGCTAGTGGCGGCGGCGCCACTGCCTGGCGGGCCCCGCGGCGAACCCCCCGTGGACGGCGCTGCTGTAGCGGCACCGCCGCCGCCGCCGCCGGGGGCAGGCGTCGATGCAGTTGAAGTGACAGAGGCGCACGACGGGGATACCACAAACGGGCTGCTTGATGCCAGGGAGGGCGCTGCCTGCGAGCTGTTGTTATTGTACGACACCGCGGGTGGCCATGTAAGGCCCGCGGGGTCCTGGGGGAAGGCTGAGGAGCCCCAGCTGACGCCTCTTCCGGCTGCCATCGCCGTCGCCGCCGCCGCTGCCGCCGTTGGCGCAGCGGCGGGCGCCGCTGACTGCGGCGTCATCGCCATCGTCGTCGTCGTCGGCGGCGGTAAGGGCGCAAATGGATCCCAATCTGCCATCGAAACGCGGGCTGGCGTCACCGAAGATACGCGAGATTGAACTGGTTGCGGCTGTGATGGCGGCGGGTGCGCCTCTGCAAAGGGGTTGACGACCGCCCGCCGGAGCTCAATTCCTGACGTCGGATTCGGATTTGCCGCACCGTTGCTGGCGCTGGCGGCGGCAAAGGGGTTTGTGCTGATGCCCCGTGCCGTCGTCGCCGTCGCCATCGAATGCTCCGCCGCCAAAGACGGCGGTGGCGGCGGCGGTTGTGCAAACGAGCCAAAAACCGTATTCGCAATCCCCAGCAGGTCGGTTAAATCAGTCGTCTTGCCGCCTCCTTGGGGCCGCAGCCCCGACCCTGCCGCTGGCGCTCCCGATGATTGTGTTGTTCTCATCGTGGTGGTTGCTGCCGTTGTCGCCGTTGTCGTTACTCCAGAGGCAGCTCGCCGCATTGCTGGCGGCGGCGGCGGTACGACAATCCGTAGCGTGTCAAACACCTCCTTGCTCGTGAAGTTCTGCCAGTCTTGGAGCGCTTGGTTGATGACGTCCGTCGCCGCCAGTACGGCAGACAGACTCCCCGAGTCCTCACAACGCTGGGTGTAATCCTAAAGACGACATGGGACTGATGTCATTAGAGTGTGTACGAGGACAGTACGAGGGCAGTACGAGGGCAGCGTATCTCAGCCGTGTCACACGTACGAGTCGAGTACAACGCAGTCAACACACCCGGGCTAAAACCCCCCACGGGCCCCTAGGCTCCTGTTGCTGCGGTGGTTCGGATGGACAAAGGGAACCCCGACAGACCAGACATCAAAACAGGAAGCAGGAGGGGAATGAAGCCACAGTCACAGAAGCACGACGGTAGCGTCTGTGACTTCTCTCACATATACATACATACATATATACACACACGCTTATACACAACGCCCCTACCTGCACCCTCCGCCGCCACTGGCTGCATCGCTCCGCCTCGCGGTACGACGCATCCATGGCCGTACTCAGCTCGTTCTGTAACTGCAAACGACCTGCTGTACGGCAGGCCGCCAAGGCTGACGTCATGCGCTGCGCGTCTGCCCGCATCCGTTCACATAGCTCCGGAACCTGTCGTACATATACAAGGTCGGTAAGTACGGGTGCTCACACGAATGAATCCTCCTGTTGATATGCGCGCTGGTGATGTGCGGGGGGGGGATTTTCACCCCCCTGGCAGTACTGACCACGCAAAACACCTACTCTCGTAATGCACATGTGTACGGACGAGCCAGCGCCTTTCCACTTGGGGATTGCGGAGAGTATCGCTTCTCCGTGCCTTAAACCCTACGCGAGTCATATATAAGCCCAACTCGTTAATCTTCCTTTTCCCCTCATTAGAAAATGCCCTAAAGCTCCTCCTCCCCTCGTTGCGAGGGTGTGGGGTCCAAGAGCCCCCGGAAGGCCCCCTCTACTTGGGGCCTCTGAAGTCCGCCAGCGGCATGGCTCACCGCATGCGGGGTGAATGGCGGGGGGGCCGCCCCGGGCAAGCCGCCCGACAAAACGCTGGGCCAGCCTGAAAAACCGGCTGTGCCGCTGCCACTGCCACCCCCCGCACTGCCGGCGCTCACCCCGGGGTTCCGGTCGGTGTTGGAAGCTGCAAACAAACGGGCCACCATAACATAACATAACATAACATAACGTAACACGGGCCACGACAGTCACGTCGGCGATACGAGCGGAGTGCTTCCTCACTCAGGAAAGACGACTCAGAATCATTTAATAGCTAACGTCATACTGGGGAGGAAAACTGTCATGCATTGATTGCGTAAAAGTGGGCTATATCACATATCGGCCCCGCCTCGCTCAAAGAACAACGTGCTAGGGAAGTTAATGACATAAACAGCGACTGCTGACGCCACACACCTCACACTGTGTGAGATACGGGGGTACCACAACCTCAAGGGTATATACCACAACCTCTCGGGAAAATGTTCCGTCTCCCGTTCATTTCCCACACCTGTTTCCCCTCCCAGATGAGGGCAGCATACACCTCATTCAAAAGCTATCTCTCCAGAAAGGCCATCCTAAACCATACCCCAACCCCCCTTTAGCAAGGCGACTTGAGCTCAAGTGTATCACCATTTCCCAGCAATGCGCAGCACCTCCTTAGCGGCACCCCACCCCACCCCACCCCACCCCCACCCCACCCCCCACCCCAATCCCAATCCCAATCCCGCACTCACCCCCCCAATACATCCAGCGAATGAAGTCCTCTCCTCGTGTTGGCCCCACGGGGGGCACCCCCAGCTGCGCTTCCGCCTGCGCGGCCAAGACTGCCGGGGAGGGTCCGCAGCCCGCAGCCATAGACCTGTAGCGGGGCTGATCCAGGAGGGCCTGACTGCGGAGGCCTAGCTCCTCCTGGCTGCTGAGATAGGCGGGGGAGGAGGGCAGGAGGGCATGGAGGGAGGCGGTATGGGAATCGCTGCGTGACGGCCACATGGTTGAACGACCTGCTAAATGGCATTTCTTTGCTTCCGTTCTATTGTAGTATGACCTGACGATGTACGTTTACATGTGCATCTGTTTGGTTTATCATAAAATTATATAAAACATTGGTTACCATAATAATAAACATCAGTACAATGGTTATCCCTAACGCTTTACCTATAGTCGCTGCGATGTGAAGGGCTCAGCAGCAACGAGCAAGGGCGGGTGGGTGGAGGGGGAGATGGGAAGCAGCAGAGGTGGTGGTGGTAGATGGAAAGCAGGTGGGAGGGTGGAGGAGGGGAGGGTGGAGGAGGGGAGGGTGGAGGAGGGGAGGGTGGAGGAGGGGAGGGTGGAGGAGGGGAGGGTGGAGGAGGGGAGGGTGGAGGAGGGGAGGGTGGAGGAGGGGAGGGTGGAGGAGGGGAGGGTGGAGGAGGGGAGGGTGGAGGAGGGGAGGGTGGAGGAGGGGAGGGTGGAGGAGGGGAGGGTGGAGGAGGGGAGGGTGGAGGAGGGGAGGGTGGAGGAGGGGAGGGTGGAGGAGGGTGGACGAAAGGAGGGACGCAGGTTGAAATGAACGATAGCAGCTCGACAACAAGGGAGGAGGTCGAGGAGCGGTTATTACAAAACGAATAGCGGGAGAAAGGAGGAGGACGGGAAGGAACGGGTAGCGTCGTGGAGGGTAGAGTAGGTGAACGAGGCCGCACACGGCCGAAGTGTGGTCTAGAGAAAGTGACAAGTGCAAGCAACGGAGGTACCCAGGGGATGGATGTTAAGGACGCTGGGAGACCTGCAACAGAGTTGCTGGGGTTTGGCACGCACCCGAAAAGGTATACCCAGTCCACGAGAAGTTGCACGAGCGCTGTCGCTACCTGCGGACCCTGCGGCCGCGATAGCTGCTTTTCCAGCCGCTGAAAGAGCTTAGGCGACGCCATTTGGTTCCGTACAGTTGTGCTACAGTTTAGGGAAATCGTATGCAGCACCTGACAGCGGTCATGCAATCCCGGCACGAGGTAACCACCGTGAGTGCAACAGTTTTACGTGCGTCCGAGCTCCTCAGAAAGGATAAAAAGCGGGAATTGTGCTGCAGGAAGAGAATAATATAAACTCACCCGTTATTCCCAAGAGCGGTATATGTAACTGGCTGTCATTTGATTTCAGCCATCCTTTAATGCAACTCAATGTGTCATTAGTAAGGTTGTTACTCTTGACAACATTTTTGACGCCCGCGAACACAGTCGGCCACAGAACTTCGCGGCCAGAAGGATCCAATAGTGATCGCGCTAATTTGTCATTAGATTGTTGAGCCATAATTTCAAAAAGTCTTGGGATAATCAAGCATCATTGATGTTTTGCAACGGACAACACGATGGCGCGATAAAGGGTAACCTGAACAGGGCCTGGAATTGTATTCTGGCGCAATACATATACCAGAGATTTCTGCATAACATTACAGTTGCATTTGTGGCATACGTCCTTCGCTGTCCTCTTCCGGACGTGTGGCGAAGCTGTCGGACGATAGCCGTACATTGCTGGGAAACTCCACGACTACAGTTTAGCAGGCCATTCACGCGAGTGAAAATGATAGTGTAACACCTCAGGAAAGGAATCAACAGCCATCCTCAATCTAAACAAGCCGGGTTGTGGTGTCGACAATTTTCGCAACTGCAGAAGTCCTTCCAACGCGCGCGTTTCCATTATGCGGCTACGCGTCAACGGCTACGTGTTAACGACGAAGCCCCGAATGCATATCATGTATTTTTTGCATGGACTGGTTTTGTGTCGGTTGCAGCACGTCCCCTTGCTGATTACTGTTACCCATCGTTCATCTGTAACCGTCCTGCCATCTGGCATCCCATCCTTGCGGGCAATACAAGAGCTGTCAGCCTTACTTTAACGGCCGTGCGTCTCCGTGCCGGATGCCGATGTGCCCGACCGACCGCATCTCCCCCACACCCCACGTAACTCCGGGTCACAAAACGTCAGGCTTGCAGTTGCTTGGCTTTTCCAGATGGCCGAAGCCATGTGAGCTGCAAAGTGAACCTGAAGGTTTAAGAAATCGAACGCGGCTATCTCAGCCATCGGGGCCAGTATCCCAGGGCCAAGCCCAAGGGTACTCCGCCTGCACAGGGAAAAGAAGGTTGATCGATGCGCGGAATAGGCGTTCGTCCCCGGAAAAGGCGGATGCGCTCAGTACTCAAAACTGCTGATGCTGGCAAGGCTGCGCAGCAGCGGCTGCCTGAAACGACTGCAAATGTGTGTTGGGCGGCACGGGCGTGGGGTGGCATGCTCGTGGGCACGCAGTACGGACGGGGCCCGCACAAAAACATGCTCACAGCAAATCCTGAGCTGCAGCAACCTAGCAGGTAGCCGGCTGCATATTTTTCATATGAAATGGTGAATTATTGCATGGCTCTCGGGGATTGTTAGATCCTAAGGATCCGCGCTGTTATCGTAGTTGTTAGTACGCCGCACCTCCGGTGGTTGACGGTTGAGACAGCAGGTACGTGATCCGTTATGGGTCGTTGTATAGGGGCCAAAAGCTGGATTTCCAGTAGGAGGTCGATCTACATGCAAGCCCGGTTTAGGCGCAATATAAAGCTGCTTTGAGCTGTCCTGAACTGACTGCCTCTTACTATGATACGTAATTTATGTAGCCACACATCGGCGCCAGCCGCATTCAAAATGGGGCTTGCTAAAGTTATCGTTTTTGCACTACTATCTCGTGCGATGTTAATCCGGAGCGAAGCAGTGGGGAACCGCGAGGAGGCGTTTATAGGCTACTCGGAGCGCGCTTTGGAGTGCCAGGACCGGCTGGATCATTGTCGAGAACGTGCAAGACACGACGGATGCCTTACGGACCCTTATAACATGCGAACGTTTTGCCCAATTTCTTGCGTCGTCTCCAAGTGCATGTCCACCGGCACCCTGAAGGTTCGCAATTAGATGTATCTGATTGTTTATAATTTTGGAGTTATCCTAGCACATATCTGTGTCCTCGTAACTGAAGGTGCGCCACAGCGGGTTTGCGACAGAGGACGACACGCAAACATTCGCCCGGCGGTGGGCTACCCGAACGAGCAAGCACACGAGTTATGATGCAGCTTCGTTGCTCGGTAACTTCCGAAAATTTAGCTACCTTGGTAAGCTCGCGCAAGTGCGCAGGGACTAGTACCACATCCGCATTCCAGCCCCCTGCTTCCTTTCCCTCTGCCAATCGCCCAGGAAGAGCCTTTCCAGCGCGGTGACCTCAATCCAACCGACCACGACTGCACCCGAAGCCGCATCGCAGCTGCCACACTCCTCAGGTTACGGTTCCAGCCATCTATAATCCATTTTCACCCCTTTCCATTTTCCCCCTCCCCTTCCCTGCACATCCCGAGGTCTATCTGTGTTTTTTTCTGAAATTGGATACCAGAACCCCCTTTTTGACCGCCACCAGCTCATCATCTCCCCCGTGCCCCGTCTATCTGGAAGAATCCGTTCGCCCACCCACCAGCCCACCCAACCTCCCACCCAACCTCCATCCCTCGCACGCCCTCAGTCCCTTTCCTGTCCGTCTTTCTCACCTACCCCCCCCCTTACATGACCCACATGGACTCATGGCCTCGGCTCGGCTCCCGGAAATTTCAGCCCTTAGATATCCCCCGCGCCTTACTGCGTGAAGTTCTATACCGGCCTCCCTCCCCATCCCCACACGCCTTTTTGCCTTCAGCCAGGTTCCAAACCCCAAACCGTGTCAGTTTGTTTCCCTCAGCCCCCGGCTCCCTCCCTGGGCCCCCCCCCCCCCCGGTCTCCACCAACGGACAACGGCTTCCCAACACACAACTTCCAACCAACTCATTCTGACCACCTCCCCACCCCGTTCCCCCCCTCTCTTCCCCCGGGCAGGGAACAACCTGACTCTGAGCTCCCTGGGTATTGGCACGTACTTGGGGGATGTGGACAGCCGTACAGATGAGGCTGTGGCGGCAGCCGTCATCCATTCCGTCATGAACGGTTGGAACGTCATTGACACGGGTGGGCGTGAGGGGGGGGGCGAGGTACGACAGGTGGGAGGGGGGAAATCATGTGAATCAAGAAACTCAGATCTGCCGGCGTCCCGACCGACCGATGTTTTTTCAGGGGGAGGGGGAAAAAGGTGTCGTCGTCTATTAGGGGTGGTCGGCCTGGGGTAGTGTTGGGCGGCGTGGGAGTTGGAGGGGGCCCTGGGCGGGGCTGTGGAGGAGTCGGAGGGAGTCGGAGGGAGTCGGGGGGAGTCAG